ACACACACACACACACACACACACACACACACACATACATGTTAAGTATATGAGGTGATGGATGTGTTAACTTTGTGGTAATCATTTCACAATGTATAGGATATCAGGTCATCATGTTTTACACCACATTGCACCTGTATATCAAATATATGCAATACTTATTTCTCAATTTTACTCAATAAAACGAAGGGGGAAGGCTATATCAAAAATCTCAACAGCACCATCTAGTGCCACATAGCATAATATTGCCCAGTTTGAGGAAATATTTAATAGGATTAATCAAAGACTGGATTAACTCTGGCCAGTTTCCCTTCCTTTCACAACTGTTCCTGAGTTTGGAGAACCAATGTTAGAAGAGGTAGGTAACTGGATATTAAACTAAGAAATAATGCAGATATTGGGAATGGTAGTCTCATTTTTCTCTATGCATCAGAACTAATCCTCTTCAATTTGTTAATCTTCTACCAATAGTTCTTGGTGACAAATAATAATAGAACAACTAGATAGAATGGCTAGATGCATTGGTAACACATCCTCAATAGCAAATATGTTGTTAGCCATATTAAGCCTGGGAAGTTTATTCCACCTGCAACCACTTACATAGCTATCTATTTCTGTATCCTTGATGTGGAAAAATGATTGGCTCTGTTGATCGCTGGCAGCTCTTGTGTGCTCAAGCAGTCCTCCTACCTTACAATCACCAAACCCTGTTTTACCAGGGAGCAAGATCTGTGTGAAAGGTCAATAAATCAGACCTTGATCAAATACTGTCTGCCATATTACATAGTGATGTGTCAATTTCACTTTCATAAAAAATAAGAGAATTTGTAGTAACACTAAAGAAATTACTACATCTTTGCAAGATTGTTAGAGCTTGTTAACTATCCTGATGAACTTAGACCAAGTAACAATTTCTTGCTGTAAGAGAATTGACTGTATATAGCGAAACATTAAGACTTTAAGTATAGGAAGAAAAAAAGGATGGAGAGCTACAGCAACTTCCTCACCCAACAATATATTCCCACTAGTTGTATCACATATTTACTCAGAATCTTAAATTATGGTACAAATTTTATAAATGTATTTCACCTCTCTGGAACATTTTTCACATTATCAAAATAACTAGTTGGTCTCTATGTTTTCTCCAGCCATGGTATTTTGTGGTTCTAAATAAAGTCATCCATGTCCTAGATTAAGAATCTCTCCCACAGAAGTGAATTTCACTACTAACAAATTAGATTATTTCCCAAGTTATTAGCAGCACTCACCAGATGTTACCTAGGAAGCTCTTTTCTTGAGGGAATCAAGTATTTTCATTCAAGCTTATTCTTTTTTGTTTGAGCAATTCTTTTCTTTTTTATTGGTTATTTTAAGTTATACATGACAATATAATTCATTTTGATATAATTATAAAAGCATGGAATATAATTTGCTTTAATTCAATCCCAAGAACCTCCCCTTCCCCACTCCTCCCTGCTCCCTTTCCTCTCCTGATCTTTCTGTCATTTACCCATAGTTATTTTTTAAATTAACTTCTTATGGATGTACACAATGATGAGATTCATTGTGGTATTTTATTATTTAACATAATTCAAAGAGTCCTTGTAATAAATAGATAATTGATAGATATTCATATATGTGAAATTAATATCTCAAATTTTTCTTAAATTACAAAATTTAATAAATTACTTGAAAGAAAACTTTATGGAATAGTACTAGAGTGATTGACTTAAAATAGGGAAGAAATATTTTACCTAGATCTCAGGGTTAAGAGGAAGTCAATCAGGCAAACATGGATAGGAAATAAGAAAAAGTTTCTTCAGTCAGGCATGGTGGTTTATGCCTGTAATAGCAGTGGCTCAGGAGGCTGAGGCAGGAGGATTGCAAGCTCAAAACCAGCCTGGCAATTTAGCAAGGCCATAAGCAATTTAGTGAGGCCCTCCCACAAAAAAACGGGGGAGGGGGGCTGGAGATGTGGCTCAGTGGTTAAGCACCCCTGGGTTCAATCACTGGTACCAAAAGAAGAAGAAAAACGTTCTTCTAAATGCTTGTAAGACCTAAACCTTCCTCCTGGGGCCAGAAAACAGTCAAATTTCTCTCCATTGCCTCATAACACTTGCTTCCTATTGCAGTCAAAATGTATACATGTTGTTACTATGAAATAAAACAGTGATACTTCCTATAATTTAAAGTTTAGTAAAAATTGACAAGTTTTTTTTTTTTAATATGTTGTAGGCACCAAGCAAACATTCCTAGAGAAACATGGATGGAGCTGGAAATCTGACAGTATCTTCTTCCAGTAATAACACATGCCATGACACTATTGATGACTTCCGCAATCAAGTGTATTCCACCTTATACTCTATGATCTCTGTTGTGGGTTTCTTTGGCAATGGCTTTGTGCTCTACGTCCTCATAAAAACATATCATGAGAAATCAGCCTTTCAAGTATATATGATTAACTTAGCTGTAGCAGATCTCCTCTGTGTGTGCACATTGCCTCTCCGTGTGGTCTATTATGTTCACAAAGGCATTTGGCTCTTCGGAGACTTTTTGTGCCGCCTCAGCACCTATGCCCTATATGTTAACCTCTACTGTAGCATCTTCTTTATGACAGCCATGAGCTTTTTCCGATGTGTTGCAATTGTTTTCCCAGTCCAAAACATTAATTTGGTTACACAGAAAAAAGCCAGGTTTGTGTGTGTTGGCATTTGGATTTTTGTTATTTTAACTAGTTCTCCATTTTTAATGGCCAAATCTTACAAAGATGAAAAAAACAACACAAAGTGTTTTGAGCCTCCTCAGGACAATCAGGCCAAAAATCATGTTTTGATTTTGCATTATGTGTCATTATTCATTGGCTTCATCATCCCTTTTGTTATTATAATTGTCTGCTACACGATGATCATTTTGACCTTACTAAAAAATTCTATGAAGAAAAATTTGTCAAGTCGTAAAAAGGCTATAGGAATGATCATAGTTGTGACAGCTGCCTTTTTAATCAGCTTCATGCCATATCATATTCAACGCACAATCCACCTTCATTTTTTACACAATGAAACTAAACCCTGTGATTCTGTCCTTCGAATGCAGAAGTCAGTGGTTGTAACCTTGTCTCTAGCTGCATCAAATTGTTGCTTTGACCCTCTTCTATATTTCTTTTCAGGGGGGAACTTTAGGAGAAGGCTCTCTACATTTAGAAAACATTCTTTGTCCAGCATGACTTATGTACCCAAGAAGAAGGCCTCCTTTCCAGAAAAAGGAGAAGAAATATGTAAAGAAGAATTTAAACCCATATCCAGTGTAAACCAATGAAGAGTTTCCCAAACATTTTCTAAAATCATTTACAATAAAAATAAAAATTTCCATTAACAATTTGCAAATATTTAACTATGTGTGCCTCCTAATCTACCTCATTTATGCATCACATTATCAGATATTTTAAGTGTTAAGAATTCAACCCACAGCTAAAGGCTAAATTATAAACAGTTGTTTGACCATTCACCAAAAGGTAGAGAATATTTGGAGTGTAAAACATGGATCTGAGATCAAAGTTTTCCTCCACAAATAAAAGCTTTACAAAGGATAAGGGGTACACTTTTAAGATATAAAATCATCAAATAATTCTCAATCATCCTAACATATTCCTTTGCTTGCATGCCATCAGATGAGAACTGGAGATGACCCAAGAGTTGCACAAAACGTACTGTTAGCCTCCCCCTTTGTAGTACTGAGTAGAGAAGCAAAGTAGAGCCACTTTTTCCAGAAGAGAATGTACACGTTCTAGAACGTGCTAGTGTTCAGCCAAATGACCCGAAAAGCTCTGTGCAATGTACATTTTGGAAACCGAGGAAAATATATCTGATCAAAGATAAGCATGTCTGCAATATTCTTCTCCCCCTGCCTCAGGTCTACAAAGAGAATGATGGCCTTTTAGTTGCCTGTTGAGGTTCCTATAACATTCTCTCCATACATGACATATAATTCTTCCTTAAGAAGCCAGACAGGGCTGGGGATTTGGCTCAAGCCGTAGCGCACTCGCCTGGCATGCGTGCGGCCTGGGTTCGATCCTCAGCACCACATACCAACAAAGATGTTGTGTCCGCCGAGAACTAAAAAATAAATATTAAAAATATTCTCTCTCTCTCTCTCTCAAAACAAAAAAAGCCAGACAACTAGCACTCCTGTATATAAACAGAAAGTAATTAAAAATTTATCTGAAGAAACAGAAAGGGGATCTACTTTCCTACATGATTATTATTAGGATCAAAATTAACTACAAGGAATTTCTGAAGAAAATTTTGAATGTCCATGTTACAAATTCTTTCAAGACGTGCATATATTATGTATAAACATATAAATATATGTAGGTGAATTTGTTCTATGATATGTATTTATGGGTGAAAGTTAATTATAAACTTTATTATTATTTCATACTTTTTGCTTTTATTGGCATGTTGACAGTAATATCAAAGATTTATTTACAGTGATTTTTATATTAAACTGGAAGCTTTGTTCTTACAACCATGATAACAACTTGGTTATAGCTACAATATTCATGGGCAAGCTTTTGCTGAAGTGCAGTATGTTCCTTGACTTTGTGGATTCAAAAGGCACATTACCTCAGAAGAAAAAATTACGATCGTGAAGAAAAAAGGAAAACTATGAAAGGAGACATTCTATCTAAATCTGTCACATGTACATTATTTATATATATCTTCTAATGTGGCAGTCTCTTGAAAAAAAATCACAAAACATAAATAGAAGGGGGCTCTAAGGCATAGTAATAATTGGTACCCATGGATTTTTGTTTAATATACGTGAGACTTGGAAGTACTTACACTTTTGCTTTATACTGCTTTTCCCTTACTTGAAACAAAAATCAAGCATAATTGTCATAAAATTCAGTTCTTATTTCTCATTTACTAAGCCTTCTGTTATTTGGCAAGCAGCACAGTGTGTGAGAATAGCACTACATTGGAAGCCAGAAAACCTAGATGCTAACCTGGTTTCTACTATATGATACTTGTGTAAATTTAGGATATGATGTGAACTTTCTTATTTGTAAAACGGGAAATATTTGTTTGGCTTTCCATATAGGGCAATTGTAAACCTCAAATGAGATGTTATATTAAAGTTTTACTTTAAAAATATATAGTGAAGTGTCATTTTAAAGTATCCAGAGATGGGTTTTTTACTTAAATATATTGATTTTTATTTACTACATGGATTCTCAATTTTAAAAGAATTAAAACAAATTAAGGCCACAGTTAAATTCTTTATTTTATTTTATTTTAATTTGTTATATATGATGGTAAAATGCTTTACAATTCATATTACACACATAGACATAATTTTTCACATCTCTGATTGTATACACAGTAGAGTCACACCATTCGTATCTTCATACATGTACTTAGGATAATGATGTCCAATAAGCCACAGTTAAATTCTATTTCATGTAATTTAATTATTCCTGCTTCCAAGCTTTTGTCTGTGTTCTCATTTTCATTCACAGTTCTACTCTTCCCATATAGAAATGTACCATAAAACCTTCAATCAGCCGGGCATGGTGGCACAAGCCTGAAATCCCAGTGGCTCGAGAGGTGAGGTAGGAGAATCACAGTTCAAAGCCAGCCTCAGCAATTTAGTGAGGCCCTAAGCATTATAGTGAGACCTTGTCTCAAAATAAAAGTAAGAAGGCCTGGAGATGTGACCCAGTTGTTAAGTCCCCCCACACACACACACTCTCATTCAATTCCCAGGAAGAAGAAGGAGAAGGAGAAGGAGAAGGAGAAGGAGAAGAAGAAGAGAAAAAACAAAGAAACTTCAGTCAAAACTTCAGTCTGCAAACCCAAAATGAATTTGTTCTTCTTTTGTTTCTCATGCATTTGTTGGTTAGTACTTATTTTCCCAATTTCTTTCATATCTCAGTATTTTCTCCAAAATTGGAGCAATCCTTCTGGAATCATCAACTCCTTGAGGTTGGAAATTATATCTTTAAATGACAGTATCTAATATTTAATGAGCTCTAACTTTGTGCTATACACTGTTTTACATGCTTAACCTGTACCAATTCATTTAATGCTTATAACTGCATTATTATCCCTATTTTGATGAATTAGAAACTGATTAGTTGTCTATTGAGGTTCCTGTAACATTCTCCCTCTACATGACCACAGAGAGGTTTAGTAACTTGCCCAATATCAGATAGTTAGGAAGCATCCGAACCAAGGTTCAAACCCAGGCAGTCTGATGCCACAATACATGTTCTTAATTTGCTATACTATTCTGCTGGATTGTTTTCAGGTATAAAGTTTCAGAATGCAGGTCAGGTGTGGTGGCACATACTATAATTCCAACAACTCAGGAGGCTGAGGCAGGACGATCACAAGTTCAAGACCAGCCTCAGTAATTTAGTGAGGCCTGAAGCAACTTAGACTAAGTTGTCTGTAAATAAAATTTAGTGAGACTAAGCTGTCTCTAAAAAATAAAATAAAATAAAATAAAAAGGGCTAAGGATGTGACTCAGTGGTTAAGTACCGCTGTTAAATCCCCAGTACCAAAAAACCCAAAAGTTTGAAAATACAGGATGAATAGGTTTTAGAGATCTGATAAACACTTAAAAACTGTTTTAAGACAGCAGATCTTGGGTTAAGTGTTCTTAACACACATATAAATATATGGAGAGAGAAAGGAGAGGAGAGGAGATGGAGAGAAGGGGGGGAAGCAGCAGCAAGGGTTTATTTTTAATGATTTATTTGTTTATTTTAAAAACCAGGTTTAATTAAACTGCATACTTAAATTCTTAAGTTAGGTGAACACATGAATTATGGCCTAAAGCCCATGGTTTTAGTTAGAAGAACATCTAAAGAATATTATATAGTATCTTAGCATATCAACATTAGAAGGACCTTCGTGTTTGTAATTCCTAATGGCAATATAATACCCTGTGGCATTAACATGCCACAGTCTTCACACACATTCCTTTGGTTGCCAACAGTCCTTTCAAACCTCATCAGCTATCTAAACTCTCTTTCATGATACACTTAAATTTTTACTTTGTTCAACCATTATGTCTTCTGTATCTTAAAAAAAATCATTTCTAATCTTAAAGAACATTCTATATTTTAGCCTCCAGAATAAACACAAGTGATTTTATGTGTTTAACTGATAACAAACTTTGGTTTTCTGGCTTATAGAATCTCCCAGTTTTTCATTCTAGTAACATGATTTTGCATTTGTGCTTTTTTTAAAAAAAATATTTTTATATGTATGGACCTTTATTTTATTCATTTATTTATATGTGGTGCTGAAGATCGAACCCAGTGTCTCCCACATGCTAGGCAAGCGCTCTACCACAGCCACAGCCTCAGCCCTGCATTTGTGCTTTTAATTAGCCTTTTAAGATAATTAAATCTCTCTCGGGATTTACCTTTAGTGACTAACTCCAATGGTGAAAAATTCAGAGGCTTGAAAAGTGAGATTAGATCTCAGAGCAATGTAAATTTGTGGGCCCTTTTTAGTAGGCACCATAGCACTGGAAGTAAGAACAGAAGCTCACTTATTCTATTCTACTTTATGTGTACAACCTGGGTTAGACTGGCTTTGCCTGATACAAAAATAGCAAAGTGTTTCTGAGAGGCCAAATCCAAAACATTTTCTTTGATCCATTCCAGATCTCTGTTACTCTAGACGAATCAAAAGACATTTTCTAACTCCTCATTCATCTGTTCATTACTTCACTTTTTTCTGCACTATATATAATCACATCATAAAATCTCTTCCATGATAACCCTATTAAATCACAATAATATATATCTATTTAAAATTACAAAAGCGTAACCTGAAATTTATAAAACAGATTTACATGGAACATTTGCTCAAGTGACATTTAATTTTGTATCCATAAGGACCTTTCTCTTGAAAGCTAGTCACTTGAACTAGGAAATGTTTTCCATGTCAATAATTCTAGCTTAGAAAATAAGTTATCCTGATGGAAAAATGTCCTTTGGACACAGAATGTTGTATTCTTGATTATTCAAAGAGAAATGTAAGCTAAGGGCTTGTTATTGCCCAGTTTTATTGCACTATAGGTAAACAAAAATTACCATATTTGTTCCTGAATAACCACAATTACCTTGGTTTGGTGTTATTGTTTTTACTTTCACCTTCTTAACTTGAAAGATTGTTTCTTGAATACCCAGATATGAGAACTAAAGATTGAAAAATAATGTTTTACACCCCATAACAAACCAAATTCATCTTTCTACAACTTTGGCAAATAATAATTCAAATTAATGTCTAATTTTGATCTCCCTTTTTAAAAACAACTTCAAACAACTGACAAAGAAAGCCAATAAAATTTATCCCCTTTAAGTCATCTATGTAGTTTTCATTTTTATTGGATAAAGGTTATAATAGCTCAGCATAAGATCTGGCTCTTTTTTTATGCACAGAAGGAATTTTTATTCCTAAATTAGCATCATGACTATTCTTCACGTACCTCAAAATTTTCACTTAAATCTAATTATAAGACTTTTCCAAAGCAAATCCTGCATTCTTGTGGGGCTTGATTCTGATTCTGTTGTGCAATATTTGGTACTGAACATAACTGGTATTTTGAATTAATCCTTTTTCCTGTTCTAGAAGGTGAAATCTGTACTCCAATATTGTCAGAATATTGAAATAAACTTAAAACTTCTTGATTCAAGGGAATTAGAAGATAGTGTATTAACAGAAAAAAATGAGCCTTTCTCGAGGCTGAAATAATTAGGAATCCTTATATGAGTGTTCATATCATTAGAAAACCTCAGGACTCAAGGAGCACCTTGAGATAGTTTTAAAGGAGCAGCTTGAGATGTTATTGGGACAGTTTTTATCTACGGACACATATGGGAATGCCCAGATGGATGACAAAAAATTCTGGTTAATTTTTAGAATTCTTTCCCTGATCAACAGCATTATTTATTTATCAATCAACCTTAGGATATCCATTTGGTTTGCTTCCTTTCAAAACAATATTGACAGCCAAAAGAAGTAATCCTCTTGGTTGTTCCATTTTTTTAATTATAAATCATTCAACTGGATTTCTAGTACAAATTCTCTGGTGATTTTGGACAACATGAGCCAGTTTTTCTGAGACCTGCCCTCTATACCCTCTCCTCTCAGCCCCAATCCAGCCCTGAACAAAATAAGATGAAAAAAAAAAAAAAAAAGGTTTCTAGGACTAAAATTTTGAGGCCACAACTCTGAAACACAGAATAAATAAAATCTCAAGGTCTTGTTAATCAAGCTATTACAAATATGGTTATGGTACTTTCAATATAGAGACCTATTATAATTATCTTGACTATGCCTACAAATAACTTGTGGATGTTTCACTAATTAAAAATCTTGCATTCTGGAAATTGAAAAGGGTCACACAGCTCAAATTCCCATACTTTGTTTGAGTCCCCTCTAGAGTTTCCTGTGAATGTTTTATTAATCCTCTTTTAAAATAACAAAGAATTCAAAAAGAGTACAAGACCACAAAAAGGAAACAAAGAACAAGTGCAATGAATAGATAAGAATTATAAATATAGTTAGCTATTAATCCAATTATATCAATAATTGCCTTAAATGTGAACAGTCCAAATATATGAATGAAAAGACAGAGACTGTGAGAGTGGATTAAGAAAAAGACCAACTAACTATATGTTATCTACAAGAAACCCACTTTAAATGTAAAGACTGAGATAGATTAAAATTAAGTGGATGGAGGAAGATATACTCTGATAACACTAATAAAAATAAACCTAGATACATATATGATTTTCTAAAAAGGAGACTTCAGAGCAAGGAAAATTTTGAGTGATAAAGAGGGTCACTACATAAAAATAAAAGGGTCAATTCTTCTCAAAGACATAAAAATCCTTAGTGTGTATGTGCCTCACAGCTTAGCATCAAAGTGCATGTGGCAAAAATAGAACTGCAATGAGAAATAGATGAATCCACTATTATAGTTGAGTACTTCCAACATCTCTGTATAATTGACAGATCCAGCAATTACAAAACCAGCAATGGCATACTTGAACCAAACAGCACCATCAATCAACTGGATCTAATTGACATCTATAGAATACTTCATTCAACAATAGCAGAATGCACATTC